CTCCCCTGTAGCTTGGCTCGTTCAGCCCTGTGTCTGGTCGACAGCGTGCTGGTTTCCACCTTGGACGTAGATGTTCCCGTCGGGCTTGATGGTCATCGCTATGCTCTGATCCTCAGCTGGCACTTATATCTGAGCAGACTTCGCCAGCAAGCTGGCCGAATCGGACCTTCAACTTTGGATCTGCATTCGCCGCCGATTCATAGCCACAACGGTCAGAAAGCAAACGGAATTTGCTAAGATTTACGAAATACATGCAGTCGATCCTTGCTCTCTCAGGCACGGCAATGGGACAGCATGCGAAATCGTCCTGACAGAGGGGGCTGACTCAAAATACTTCTGCCGAGTTACTCGTGCTCTCTCCCTCTCCCTCCCTTCCCCCCTCCCTCCTCCCCTCTCGTTCTCTTCCCCCCTCGTCTCCTGTGTCCATCCCTCTCTGCTTGCTTTGGGTTGCTTTGCTTCGGGTGTAAGCTGAGGGCAGATCCCAGGCACACTAGACATGCTACTTACTCCACTTTGTGTCCCCCTCTGTTTGATCGCTGGCGGCTGTAGCAAAGGTTCAGGGGCGCAGCGGAAAGGCTCTGCCCAAATACAAGTTCTCTCTGTTCTGTTCTGCTCCCCGGGGTTTGAGGAGCCTGTTAAGCTCCCCGCGCCGAGAGGCGCGCCCCTGTTTTGGGGCCTTGTGGGGGTTCGGAAAAGGCATAGTTGCTCGGTGCTCGGCAGAAAGAAACAAAGTTCTCTGTGTCTCTCTCGTTCTCTATTTGTTCTGTGTGCAGCCGCCGGCAAAGAAACATCAACGGCTTGACCAAAGCAACATTGCAGCCGCTCGATCAAGCTTCCCATCTGCGCCTGCTTTGGCATGCGGAGCAACGGCGCGAGGCATCGGATTTCGCGCTTCGGCCAATAGCCCTGGCATCAGGGCATGCAAAGTACCGATGTAAAAACGTCCAGTGGGGCCGGGGAAGGGCTGCTTGCCTCTGGCAGAGTGCCGACCATGAGGTCGGAGAAGCCGTAGGTCGCTTCAAGGAGCGAGCCCTGGATGCTTTTGAAGCGCATGTTGCGGCTACCATCTCGCATGCTTCGACATCCGGCTGCCTGCAGCGTCACAATGCCATTCTCCCTCTGCAGTCCCGGAGGGTCCTGCAGCGGAAAACGCAAAGTGCGCAAAGCATGCGCTAGGCGTGGAAAATGCCGGACATGCAGTCCCCTCCTGTGGCGATGCCCGTAATTCCTGGCGCCGAGTGGGCGACATGTCCTCGTCCTCAAAGCCGCATGGCAATGCGTACACCAAAAGCAGAAAGTGCGATTGAGTTTGGCCCTAGACGACAACAGCTCCGCAGAGCTAGCTCATGCCATGGCGAGAGAAGGCATGCGCGAAACCTTCGCAAATTCATTACAACCACACCGCTGCAATCTGATACGTCATTTCTGCAAGTACCAATTCGAAGCAGCATCGATCTGATGGCACGGCGCCAGTAGCGGCTGCTCATGCATCTGCTAAAAGCAAGCCTTCCAAACCTGCACGGTCCTTTCCCTTGCCTTTGCCCTTGCCAGTGACATCCTTCACATCCTGCAGAATGTTGTGATTCAGGAATGCGTTGTATCTATGGCCGGAGCATTGCAAAGAGCACAGCAAGTTCACAAAGTCTCCTTGGCTTGCTTGCGGCGGTCTCTTGCGAAGATGTCGATCTCCTCCTCCGCCTCACCTGGCAAAAGGATCCCGAAAGTTGTCCCCAAGTGACAGGCTGTCAGTTAGGGCCTCGGATGTTGTAGACCAACCCCGAGAAGTGCAGGACCATGGGATTGGTGTTCCTTACCGTGTGTCCTAAACCTGACTCCCGCTCATCTGGCGACGATGGTTGGCAAAAAGGCAGCCATGGCTCTTGTTGAAGTTGATCATGAGCCTGCCTCAGCACTTGCCGAGCTGCTTCGTCTGACACCAGTGACACCCGGTTGGTATCTTCAGGGCCCTGCCATCATCTCGCAACGTCGAGCTAGTTCCGCACTGCTGGATGCCTGTGGCAAGGCGTCGGTGATGTGGAAACCGACTCAATCAAGCTCCATGTTCTTCTGTCGCACACGCACCCGGCTGATGAAATCGCGCCTTGATAGCGCGACATGGCAGTGGGCGCCACGAAGGGGACATACCGCTGCGGGTTGCTGTGGTATGGCACCTGCTTCCACAAATGGCCGAGGCCACGACCCATGGCTAAGCCGTAGATGCGAGACGCGCACGAAACGACAACAACACAACCTACCCGAAAGCACTCCGCCAAGTTAATGCAATGATTGAAACAACTTGCGAATGACTTCTGGCGAACTCTGGTCTACGTGCCTGTCACTAGGCTTGAAGGTAGCGATGTGCAAAGTCGGAAAATGCAAACTCAAAGCCGCCCGACTCCCAAGATATGCTTCTGGGAGTCGGGGTTCTGGATGCCTGGCCGACGGTGAGGTCGAAGTTCGCCTTTTGCTTCATGGGCGACCTGACCGGCCAACATCTGCATCCAGAGCGGTATGAGCTTCCTGCAGGTCCCGCACACGGTGGTGATGCAGCCGGAAATTACCACGAGATTGCCGCGGCGGTGCACTACCAGCTTCTCTCCACCAACGGTCCTGAGCTATGGGGGCGGGGACAAGCCGTAGAAAGTTGAGGAGGCTTCAAATCCTTGACGCTCACTTGCAGCGACCAGCTCATACCGCTGCAAGCCTGCGCAAGCATCAGCATTCTGCGTACCCAACACCAAGCCGAGCTGCAATAGATCGAATCCGGCCCAGTCCCCCTTCAGCTCCATGTCGAGAGACACCTCATATATCGCAAGTGTCAAAGCTCACCCTTCCCATCGCAGAAGGTGGGTCTCTCTCTGCCAGGTGGCGATTGATGGCTCCTTAAGCTTGGATGGTGACGACTGTCCCTGCGAAGAGCGATCTGAAAATAACAGAAGGTTTTTGCTGTCCCGTGAGTGTGTCGGGCAGACTTCGTTCAGCGACCAGCTCAGTGGCAGTCAGCGACACGCCTAAATCTTTTAACATGGCGACGCCTCGCTCTCATGCTTGATGCCGTCGCCCTCTGGGATCTTCGGTAGAGTACTACCTAGGCTGCCAAAGTTGAGGCATCAACTGTCGACCAATTCCAACGGCAGCTCTTCTTAGCATCTTGCCGGCCTACCACGAAGACTCGAAGCATTGCACGACTGAGTCACATTTTCATGCAAAAGACGCCTTCAGGATTGTCGCACGCGAAGTGGCGCTCGAGGCGGCGACAATGACAGGAGCAAAGATCATGTCCAATAAAAGCACGGCTTGAGGCACCACGCACGACCAAGCAGCAGACCATTATGGTGCACTATGGTGGTGCGGTAGTAGTGAAGTAGCAGAGCTGGGCAGGAAGAGGGCAGCTGTTGGGGGGCAGCAATCGAACAGACATCCCTTTCCTGGAACGCAGAGAAGCGGTCTCTACCGCGTTATGATGAACATCGGCACAACCCCGGCTCTTGCAGCATGCGACTGCGCGTCGCCGCCGTCGAAGTCCCAGAGGCCCCTGAACCTCGACACAGGGCTGTCGTACTTGCGGCTTGGAGCTTGGTGGTACCGACATCATGCAGACCGTCTTGTGGGAGCAAGAATGTCTTGCTCTGGTCCTGGCTTCTCGTAGATCGGTGTGGGGGCCATCCGCTGATAGCTGCTAGCACTGCTCTTTGCATTCCTCATCACCTTGGTCCCCACTCCGAGGCTCCGGCCCCGTGCATCGCCCTCAGGCTCCTGAGTCTGGCCGAGGCCCTTCCTCGGTGTTCGAAGTTCTCGTGAGCAAAGGCTCTAAGCTTTCTGTCTGCTTCCTCTTCTCAAGTGGTCATGGCGACTCGTGGCATGAGGAATGCTCGTCGTCATGCAAGCGGTGCTAAGCCGCAGTGACTCTGGCGTGTGCTTTTGTGCCTTTCAGTCGTGGTCAAGAGATTTTGGCCATGTCCCGTGCAAATACTGCGTCTCATTGACCTCTCGACTTCTACCACGAAGACCAGGAACAAACATCATGAATTAGCGGCAATGCGGCAATACGGTAGGTTTCATGCTCAAGGTCGGGAAGGCTGTGATCCCAGGGTTTTAGACAGAGTCATGTAGGAAGCTCCTGCCGATCCAAGTTGCTCGCGCATGGTGGAGTGCACCTGTCCAGGGAAACCCGGGCTGGCAGCCCCAAGCATGGAGCATATGTGAACATCACATGTGCTGTCATCGGGGAACCTTTACTGCCTATCGGCGCGTAGGATGGGACTTTGGTTTGCAGTCGCAGGCTTGCAATCTGTCCTTGGAAAGGTTTGGACAATTACCGGCGTGTCGTCGGTGCAATCATTCGTGGTCTTTGCAATATCTAGCTTGCCTGGGTATGCCTTCAGGCCCTGATTCAAGAGAGTCGGTTCATGCCGGCCTGAGGTTCGCAACCATTCGAACGGTTGATTCGCAGGTGACGTTTTACATCGCTCGAACCCGGGCAGAATGAATCCCGAGTCGGCCCTGATGCTGAACTCAGCTGAGTGCAACCTCCTCACACCACAACTCAGGGGCTGAACTGCATCAAACCACGCCTCGTCGTCATCGGCGAGAACCATGGCAGGCCACTAAGGCATGGCGAACGGCGATGGATATAGATTCCACAGCCCAATATGAGTCGACGGCTGGCTGAGGCGCAGAGGACAGAAGCCGTCTGGCCGAGGACGGCTGGATGAGGCGCAGAGCCGACGTGTGCTGATATGTATGAGCTGCCGTTTTGCCGTGGAGTCTTGGCATCGTCGCATCCAATCATCTGGTCAGACTGGGGAACTGGTGTTAGGCTTTCTTCGCCAAGCTGACTGCCAAGGCGTGCTGTCTTCTTGGGCCCTGCTTTTGCGGAAACCCTAGCTACGACGATTGAGGCGAAAATGTATACTTGACAGAGACACAAACGGTGCAGCGGGATTCACATGCTGGTGGCTTGACATTGAAGCACGGGCGCCGCGATCTGGGCTTGCTACCATTTCCGACGTCTGGACGGCCTTCGGATTGAATGCCCAGATCTAGCAGCTCAGCAAATCTTAGCATCGGAGAAGCTGCGGCTATCCCCTTGCGGATTTCTGCATCCTAAAGTTGAGCATCCATCCAAGCTCTCAACTTTGGACCTGTGCCCCAACTCTTTGGCAAACTCGTGCCTTCCAATGGGAACTGCTCTTGTCTGCCCCATTCGCAATGTCAATGTGCGACGCACGCAAGTCCTCTCAAACATCCACTGCAGTACAAGCCGGTGCATTCACCGTAAGTTCCCACGTTAACTACTCCTGGATCGCCATGATGGACATGTAATACGCGCTGCATGTGGTTGCCCTGCCTGCGCCTGTTCAAGCACTTGTTGTGACGTGCAGCTGACGTATCTGTGAGCATGCATCCCACGCAAAACAGACATTCACAGAAATCCAAGTGTCAGGCTTGCACTGTGATGCAGAGAAGTCTTGACAACATGAGCAGGTACAGTCTATCGCGCTCCTTGCCGACTGTATCTGCGAAGGAGGCCATCTGCTTCACCTCCCACACATAGTGCAGCACTGTGGCAATTGCTTCGGGAGATGCCTACTTGCTGCAAGGACTAGCATGGCAGCATAGCGATGCATGGCAGTATCTGCGAAGCAGGTAAGACCATGTGCATCTGGAGCGGGTTTAAGTTTGGCAACACACACGTAACAGAACGTGCGCGTGGGAATCGTTTTTGCGCCCGCTCAGAAGGCAGTTGAAGCGAGGCATGCGGCGACTCACCACTCGAAGAGTCGCCAGCCTTACCAGCAAAGATGCAAAGTCTGGGAGCGAAGCCAGGCTGGCAAAGCAAATCGCCAGAGTCCGGAGTGCCATGAGCCAGCTCCAAGTCAGAGCCATCATCAGTGCCGAAGGGCTGTGGTTCATGGGCCCCTGGGGGCCAGTTCCCAAAGCCAGATGCCTCAGCTTGAAATTTCCCGACTTGGCGACATGCAGATTAGAAAGAGCAGAACCTTGCGGGAGTAATCACAGCAGCGCCAAGAGCATTAGCAATCGTTGTTGCTAATCGAACACACATGGCACATCCTCTTCTAGCCACAATCATGCTCTGAAATGCCTAAGATGTAGTAAGAATCGCAAATGGTGGTCGAGGCAGCGTTTCTGCACTGTACTTCAGGGTTTTGACTTCAGATTTATGCCAATGTTAGCCGCGGGGGTGGTCGTCGTCGTTGTTGTTTTTGTTACCCAGTCGTAGTCGTAGTCGTAGTCGTAGTCGTAGTAGTAGTAGTAGTAGCAGCAATAGTAGCAATAGTAGTAATAGTAGTAGTAGAAGTAATAGTAGCAGTAGCAGTAGAAGTGGTAGTAGAAGTAGTAGTAGTGGAAGAAGAAGAAGAAGTAGCAGCAGTAGCAGTAGTACTAGTACTAGCCACCCCCCCCTCCCAACTACACTTGCTCCATCCGGGCTGGGCAGTGGCAGCTTCTAGGCTCCCGAACTGCGACAGGTGCAGAAGATGCAGGGGCTCATGCTCCCTATCTGTGACAGCTGCAGAAGTTGCAGAGGC